TTGGAATTTCAATTTGCATTACAAATATGGATTATAGTACACATTCCAAGCTTTCCAAATTGTCCAAGAACTTCTCAAACACCCTTGTGGTTAGGGAGAATCGAATTTGTCAATATGGGCAAAAGTCACTTTGTTCATGAGCCATTTTCATGTTCATACACTATGCATTTTCAAACTCAGCTTGCACAAGCTAGATTACAGGCCTCTAATCCTTCTTACACTCAATAATTAAATGCATATCCTTTGTGTTAGAGTATTATTTTGTGCATTTGGACAATACACACAAAATCAAGCCATATTTGGAAAAAGTAACTTATCTATTCTTGTAAAGATCAACTTTATGTCAAACACAAATCTAAGAAGTACAATGCAGATCTTTGAGGCACAAGTTTATGGACTAATCGCACTGATCAATGAGAGATTATGCAGCATGCTTGAGGGACCTGCCTTGGCCTATAACCCAACTTGACAAACTTTGCTTATCTAAGAAGAAACTTTGTCAAACTGATCACATCTCTCATTCCTGTAAGAACTAACCAAAACAAACTTTGTGAACACATTTCACACTCCCTAAGTAACCTGAAACACGACCAAACCATCCCTAAGACTCCCTCATTCATCAAAACACAGTTTTGTGGCAAAACAGGGTACCTTCTGCATTTTGACTTGGCCAGTTCATTTCCCTCGTGTGTTTTCATCCAAACCAGTTCAAACACATCCTATATCATCCATACAAACTATCCCAAGCCCTAGCTGCAGACTGTAACACCTCTAACCAAGTTCACCATTTTCATTTTTTCAATTGTGCAGGTTGAGTTACATAACTCGTTTCAGTTAGTTTCAAAGCAAGCTAGAGGTTGGAAGAGCATCCCTGAACTTCAAGCAAGCTGTACAAGTCCTCACATTGCATTGAAAGTACCTCCATTGCTGCACACGATTCCAGCTGAACAGGTAAAACTTTGGACTTCTATCTCTCAATCTAGGAAGAGTTAGGCTTAGGTTTATGAATGAAACATGCTCTACTCATGGCCCTGAAGCTACCTATATCCTCACTTTTCATTTATATTGTGTGTGTTAAGAGAATTTGGAACCTGAACATTAGAAAAAAACTTAGGTCAGAAATTGGGGATGAAGAAATTCTCCCTCGTTTCTTAGAGTTAAGTCAAGTTTTTTATATGTCTGGATTCGTCTCTTGATGCTCTACATTTTTGGTGTTATGAGTTTTGCTTGAAAGTCCAGGAATCAGGAGTTAGGAAGCGCGCGTTTTTGTTGTTCAAACAAGTCTGGAGGTTGAAGATGACTGGCTTGGGCTGGGCCTGAGTCAGTCCTACTTTTTGGACCCCTTTTTTCAATTTGCACCCCCCTGGCCCATTATGTGATATATTTGTCATTTTTGATTTTTTCTTTTTGATCTTGATTCTATATTTTTATTCAAGCATGAAAAAACACTAAAAATATTTTTCTCACACTTTTTGCATTTTATTTGATATTTATTTGTTTCATTTAGTTACATATATAAATAAATATAGTACTATTTGTTTAAAACATTAAAATAATAATACAAAATATATTTTTTTTAGTTATTATTTTTTATTTACATTTTGGAAACATTTTCTAAAAAAATATACTTTTTTTTTTGTAAATAATTAACATTTTTTATTTTTGTACATATTTAATATTTTTAGTAAATAATATAAATACTTATATATTTAGAATATTTAGGATAAAAAACATAAAAATAATACATTTTTATTTTTATTAATATTTGACCTCAAAAATCACTTTTTTACAATATACTTCTCTTTTATTTATTTTTTGTATATAATTAATAAATATTGCATATAATAAATAATAAATACTTTTTATTTAGCAAAATTAGGGTTTTGCCCTAAAAACACAAAATATCCAAAATTGATTCTTTTATTTTTGTTTATATTTCACATAAAAAAATACTTTCCCATACATATAAAAACCATTTTTGTGCATAAGTACATTTTTGCATATTTATTTACTTAATTATTGTACAATTAAATAATTTGTATATCCAATTTGGATTGTAATAACTTAGATTTTAATTTCTTGCTCAATATCCCCATTTGAACATTTGTAACCCCCATCCCATAATTGTGTTGTAATAATTTAAGATTTTAAATTCCGCACTTTAAAGCTTTCTAAATATACCATGATAGACTTAGGGTTTGTATGCAAATCAAAAATAACAAATAGCTTGACCTATTTCAAAGATAAAAAAGCATGAAAATGGACAACACCAATCACACTTGCATCCCTAGGGTTACTCCACTTGTTGCCTTCAATAATGGGCCATGTTGCATGTTGAGTTTCTTTGGCAAAACAAAACAATATCAAATGATCATAGTCCCTCGATGACGCTTTCGAAAGTTGCCTAAAAATGATCATAGTCCCTTAAAGGAAAAGTTGCCAAAGACACTTGGCACCATTGCAATCATGGTCTAAATGATGACCCGCGCCCGTCCCGTTAACATCCTAACACAAGATTTTCCACCAAACACAATGGTGAAACAAAATTGTTAAAAGGGTTAAAACATAGGAAAAACCTTTGAGTAAATTTAGGGGTAGACAACTCTTAGTTACTTGATCAAACTTGCAAAAACCCTTGCCTACTTTTCAAAACACACATCACAACACACTTTCAAAACAACTTTCAAAAACATTGAAAACTTTTCAAAAGATAAGTACACCTTTGTATACATTCAAACATGGATCATTACAAAGGTTACCACAATAAATGGCCTCTTTTCAAAACATTTTTCAAACCCACACACAAAGCACCATTTCAAACAATTGAAAGCACCATTTCAAACAATTGAAATTGCAAGGCAAGTGATCTAAGCAAGTAACTAAGAGCCCATGGATAACCATGGATAGAAAGGGTGCTAATACCTTCCCTTTCTATAATCTACTCCCCGAACCCAAGAAAACATCTCAAAGGTTTTTGCTGTGCTTTTTAACCTTTCCTTAGGATAAAATAAAAAGTCAGTGGCGACTCTTACTCAACCGAAACATTTGCGAAAACAAACGCAAAACCCAAGTCAGTTCTCTCACCGTATCACAGACTCAATAAAATATTTGTAAAAAAATCAAACCAACTGAACCAAACCAAACCGTATTAGTTTGGTTCATTTTTTCTTCTAAAAGCCAATCGAACCAAACCAAGCCGCACATTTTTTCTCTTGCAGTTCAGATGATTTTTAGCGTCAAAACCATCCAAACCGCACCACGAACACCCCTATATAATTGATTAATCACTTTCGCTACTTAATTAACCAATAAAAGGCATAACATTAACCAAACGCTGACATTAAGGGTCCGTTTGGTTCAACGGAGAGAAGGCGAAGAGAAGTATTTTAATCAAATGTGTGTTTGGTTCAAAAGAGAGGGATGAAATGAGAGGGAGAATTTATAATAAAAAATATATTTGATTCACAAGGAGAGGGGAATAATTTTAAAACTAATTTACCTTTTAACCCTTAAAAAATATTATAACCTAAATAAAATATAAATAAAGTGATATTCACAATTTTTTTGTCAATTCATAAAAAAGATAGATAATCAAACACAAAATATTTAATATTTCAAATAATCTAAAATATATTAAAATTTAAATAAAATATTAATAAATTTCATACAATAATTATATGATCCATGATCAGATGAATCATTTTATCATCTTGATGATCCATCAAATCCTATAAAATATTTATAAAATTAAATTCTAGGTAATATATGTGACTCATATACTACAATTATATATAGATATGCAAGCCAATACAATAATTTATAAAACAATTAAAGTTCATTAAAAAAAAATAATAAACAAAAATGAACAAAATAAAACACCTAAAAAATAAAGAAAATTAAGTCAACATATTAATAAAAATAACGAAGTTGCGTTAAAAAAATTTAGAAATTCTAATATAAAGACAAAAATTAAAGTATAATATTTATATTTATTAAGAATAATTTAAGATATTAATATAAAGTGAAGATTACCTTTAATATAATTTAGGAGAAAATTTGATTCTTTAATATAAAGTGAAGATTACCTTTAATATAATCTAGAAGAGAATTTTGATTACCTTCAATCCCTCTTCATAAAAATTTGAACCAAACATACTCTATTTAAAATATTCTCTATCCTCCCCTCTTCTCTTCTCTCCTCTTCTCTTCTCAAAAAATCTACAATCAAATAGACTTTAAAATATAAAATATAATAATTCATCTTTACATTTTATTAATCAAATTCTGACATTAAATTATATAATATATATAAAATATAGCAAATAAAATTGATTAATGTAATATAAAAATCAATTATTATATTTCATATTTTAATATTAAAATTTGGTTAATAACACATATTTTATTAGTTAATAAGATAGTAAATTTGATTAATGAATTATAAATGAAATATGTAGTTAATAATATATATTTTTGTAATTAATTGTATAATAAAATTAGGTAATAATACAATTTTATATTTATATTATAAAATAAAATATAAATAAAAATATTATTTTTAATTTTAAAAAACAATCACAGTTTACTGTATTAAATACGAGGAAATATAAATAAAATGTAATTATTTGATGTAGAAAGTAGTGTAAAAATAACATTATTCAGCACAATTATTTAATACTGAATATTTAATAAAAATAGGTTAGCATTAGGAATCGGAGATTGTGTGGAGCCGAAAAGACGAATGACGCGCATGATGCGCGTGGCATAGGGTAAGTGGTAAACGCGTTTTGGTAGTGTGTGTTGCCCTAATCGTATGCGATCAAAAACTGCTTCTCTCGTTTCTTCTCAAAACACATTCTTCATAAATTCATTCATCAATCAACCATGTCTTCCACTCCAATCTTCAATCGGTAACTTCCGTTTTTCCCCTCAAATCCATAGTTTCACCATCTTTATTTTTATTATTATTATTTTTGTTTTTGTTTTAGGTTAAATCAATCATGGAACCCATGGATATCGTTGGCAAATCAAAGGAAGACGCTTCGCTTCCCAAAGGTTTTTTTTCTTTCTTTCAATTTTGATTATTTCTTTAATCGGTTAATGTGATTGAATCAATTCGCTACATGTATAGTTCTTTTGTGAAAATTAGTTTTATTAGAGCTTACTAATGCTTTTACTTTCTTGACAGCAACAATGACAAAAATAATTAAAGAGATGTTACCTCCAGATGTACGCGTTGCAAGAGACGCCCAAGACTTATTGATCGAGTGTTGTGTAGGTCAGAATTTCACAATCTATGTATTTTGTTCCCAAGGCTTGTATTTGTTTTATTATTTCTTTTTGGATGCACAATTTGTTAATGATACAGGGTTCTGATATGTTATTAGGGCTAATTTAGATTTAAATATGAGGAATCCCACCAACCATAACATATCTTATGGTCCATAAATCACTAGAATCTTCAGTTTATCATAACTGATTCGCTACATTTATACTTGCCGTATTTGATCTTGGTTTACTGAATAAGATTTTGTCGGTTGGTTTTTTATTCTAGAGTTTATAAATCTCATCTCATCAGAGTCCAACGAAGTTTGTAGTAGAGAGGACAAACGGACTATTGCTCCTGAGCACGTATTGAAGGCTCTAAAGGTATATATCCCTACAGTTCTGCATCTGGTTCTTGTTCAAGATTTTCCTATTATGTTTCAATGTTCAAATCGGGACCATGCAATTATTTTCAACACCATTTAATTACTCAATACTTGATCACGCCATTCTTTGTTGATTAAAGATTTACCTGTTCTTGAAGCGGAGAAGTAGTTGGTCCGTTTTTCATTTAATGTTATACTCTGTTTCCTGCTAACCGGTGATAATCAATTATGACAATATGTATCTTTTGCGTGTTACATACATATTTTAGCTTTTAGGAATGTCAATTAAAAAATTGATTTAATTTAAAATGAATTCCTTACACAAACAGCATATAACATGTATATGATATTTTAAACAGCTGGCTCATTGGATGCTTTTAAACAAACCTGTTATGATTTTTGTTTTATTGATTTGCTATTTTTTCTCTTTCCAGGTGCTTGGATTTGGCGACTACATTGAAGAAGTTTATGCAGCATACGAACAACACAAATTGGAGACCATGGTACTTTTGAATAAGAATGTCCCTTATGCATGCTTAATATCGAGTAGTATCACACAGATTAGCATATCACACACCTTTTCACCCCAAAATAGATAAACACTTGCTACCGAAACAAAAGATAACATAGAGTGGTCCATAAAGATGAACCAGTTTTGGTTGTTTATCTGACCATCTTTCTTGGACAGTCTTAGTGGAAGCAGAATTCTGTTCTTGCATTGGGGACTGATGAAAGATGGACACGGTTCTCTGATGTAGAATACCCAACCGCTCTGTGGCTCCTGTCCAACATAAACCATAGAGACCTGAAGAAATGGTTCCTATGTGTTACACGGAGACGATTTTAATGGGGTAGTAATTTGACTGCTCACAAATGCTTTCCCATCCACATGGTGTTTTCAGCATGCCATTTGCATGCATGACCTGTGCTATCTTTGGTTGTTAAAATAAAAATCTCCTATGAGTCTCTTGTAGTTATTATTTTCCTGTGCCTGTTGGTTTTTTTGACTTTCCGGTAAACTCTCCAGGAAAAATAGTTGTGGCATTTGTGATGTAAGAAGGATCATTGTGTGCTCATACAAAAGCTAACCCATCTGTGTTTTATTTGAATTCACACGTGTTATGAATTTCATTTCATAAAAGCTTGTTCTGGTTAGCGAGTGATTGGAGAGTCCATATCTGAAATGTTAAAATTAATCTTGAATACATTATTGCCATTGCATGAGTGTACTTTCAAAATGAGTAACTAATTTCTGAGATATTTTGATATTTCAGCAGGATTCCTTAAAAGGCGGTAAATGGAGCAATGGAGCTGAGATGACTGAGGAAGAAGCATTAGCAGAACAACAAAGGATGTTTGCAGAGGCACGTGCTAGGATGAATGGTGAGGCCATTGCTTCTAAGCAGCCAGATGGTGCCAAAGTTTAAATAGCTAACTTTAGGACGTTAGTTGATATTGAATCATAGAAGCTCCTAACTCCTGTCTGTGCTTCCTATGAGTTCAATTGTGTACAAAAACCATTCACTAGTTTGCTGGCCAATGTAGATGTGCTCTCCATTTGTATTCCATGGATGAATCCATATTTCCCAGTCAATGTAATTAGTGAGAGTTCTTGAAAATCCTCTTCTGGTTAGAATCACTTGTAATTATTTTGTTTACTTTTTTTTTTTTTGTAACTTCTACACACTAACAGCTCAAAGCATGAGTTCGACAGTAGCTACTTACTACATTTCATTTACACAAACAATTAAACATGTTGAAGCCATTATGTTGTGATTATTTCTTTTTGTATAAACATCAATATAGGAAAAAATCTTAAAAATAGCAAGAGATGAATGATGATAACTCAAAATTCTCTCACCATCCATCTATTTGGCATAGTAGTGAATAAAGTCATGTTATTTTGAGATAAATGTGTGTTCTTGACACATGTGTTTTACAAACAACCCTTTCAAGTTATCCTAAAAACATGTCTCTATTATTAACCTAAATCTAATTAAGTTTTCACAGTTTATATTGGGGATAAGGACCAAAATTTTTATCATGGAAATAGGATTGAGCACTTGTGGGGATAACCCTACACTACAATGAAATGTCAGTTTGTAGATACATATAATGTAGTCTCTGTAGCCAACATGAGGCATGAAAATTCAGTAAGAAAATTCAGCAATCCTTAACCTGATGTGACCTTATGCGCCATTAAACTGTAGACATCTATATCATGTATGCAGCAAAAGAGTGTGCTAAGTGGAACAGTGACGGCTTTATGTTTTGTTTGTTTTAGCTTTAACGTTATATTTAATCTATTTTTGTTACCATTTTTTACCACCAAGTCAAAAGAGATTATTCAAACACAAACATCACAAAAACCCTTCTCAATCACTCTCACAAAAAATCTCTCTCTACCTACCCCACCAAGAAAGTGAAACAACTAACACATTGTCTCCTCAGATTCCTTTCTTTCCTAATAAAAAATCACACTCTATCCAAGTTTTTCCTCTTTCTGATTTCCTATACACCTTGTGGGACTACCTATGTGTCTCTTTTGTCACGATTCTCTTGCACTCACTAGCTTAATCAAAAAAAGTGATTAATACAAGCAAGAATCACAAAATAATCAACTATTTATTACTACTAGTACTAATTAAATCATAAATAAAATAAAATCCTCAACATATCAAAACAAATACTAAGATTCATTCTCTCCCTGTCTCTCTCTCTGTCTCTTCACTTCCTGTTCTTAAAGCTTTGTTTTTTTTCTCTCTGAAAATGAAAACACCAAACATGGAAGACACAACAAACACAAAGACAACCTTAACTTCTCAAGATCTTTCTTCCAAGAGACACTTTCATTGGACAAACAAAGTTGGAAATGAAGAACCAGAAGAACCCTCAACCATGTCAAAAATCATAGATGAACAAACCAAAAAAGAAGATGAAAAAGTCGTTTCAGGACATTCATCAACAGCAAGGAAGAAGCTTCAATCCGTAGCAATTTCACGGCTTCGTTCAGTTCTAACAGTCTTCAACAAGAACCGTTCAAATCTACCTTCCGGTCTCGGTTCACGAGTTGTTGGAACACTCTTCGGTTACCGTCGTGGCCATGTCCATTTCGCTTTTCAGAAAGACCCCACTTCACAACCAGCTTTTCTCATCGAGCTTGCAACACCAATCACTGGTTTGGTTCGTGAAATGGCTTCTGGGTTGGTTCGAATTGCTCTTGAATGTGACAAGGTGAAGGAGAAAGAAAGAGAGAAGAAAAGTTTGAGGTTGTTGCAAGAGCCTCTTTGGAGGAGTTCTTGTAATGGAAAAAAGTGTGGATTTGCTAATAGGAGAGAATGTGGTGAGAAAGATTGGGAGATTTTGAAAGCTGTTGAGCCAATTTCAATGGGAGCTGGTGTTTTGCCAAGTGCTGAAGGTGGTTGTTCTGATGGTGAAGTTATGTATATGAGAGCTAGGTTTGAGAGAATTGTCGGGTCTAGAGATTCTGAAGCTTTCTATATGATGAATCCTGATAGCAATGGTGCACCTGAACTAAGTGTTTATTTGCTTAGAGTTTAGTTTCTTAGTTTGCAGTATTAGCATCTTGAGAAAAGCTTTGTTAATTACTCTTTTGTTAATACTTTTATCTTGGTTGCTTCATGTTTGGAATTACGACGAGTTTGACTAGATCACGATAATGTAGTCTTACCGCGGCGTGTTGCGAATCTGCGAAGCTCGCTGTGAATCCAAACATGGACTTGGAAGGGTATATTAGGTTATTGATATTCTAGTTGTTTGGATCTTGAATCATGAAATGGAGACCTAGTTGGGTTTCTATTCTTTCTTTTTTTAGGCTAGGGAGAAAGAGGGGAAATTGTGGGTAATCTATAGTATTTACAGCTTGGTGGTGGGGTGGATCAAGAAAGGTGTATATGTATAGTTTTGATTTCAATCCTTTTGATTAGTGATATGAAATGGATGTTAATGCTAATCATGATTGTGTTCATATTTTTGTTTAGTTTAAGTAGCTTTAGCACTTTGTCTCTAAACCAAATATTAACTTTATTTGGATTGTATTCTGCAAGTTCTACTCTTACAGATTCTACAAATAATACTTTCTTTGCTTTTGTGTAGAGGAAAATTGCCATTTGAGAATCTCTACCATCCCTTTTTCTTTTCTCTGTCTCTTTGATGATAACTTCATTATTATTTTGTTAAGTACTAGTACTCTTTCACTTGTTTCCTTCTAGAGCAGTTAGGAGCCTTGATCAACATGCTATTTTAATGCAACTAGATTTTCAATATTTGGTATAAAAGTTAAGGTGGTTCCAATCACTGCTTTATATGCATAATTTTGTTTGTGAAATGATCCCAAGAACTGTTTGTTAGTGGCTAATCATGGAAGCAATCAAAAGCAATACTATAAGAAAAGGAAAAGAAAATCCATATCCTGTTACTAACAATCTGATCTGACTGCAGCACCATATACCTTTTCTTTGTTTATATACTCTCTACCATTTGCTTTTCCTTTTGTTGACTGCTTTTCTTTGGCTGGCCTAATTCAAATACTATGTTATATTCTTTGCATTATGTTGCTCATAGTAATTTGTGCAGCATGAGTCTCAAAAGTGTAAACCTAAGCCCACCACATTACCAACTTTATGCTGGTTGAGTCTAGTGCAAGAGATTAGTTGATATCTTGAGAGATGCACAAGAGAACGGGATTTGGACATCTGAAGCGTGAATATAAATGATAGGTGGTTTGATAGCAGAAATTCAATAGCAGATAATTCAATAGATGTTAGATAGACTCTGATATCATATTAGAATTTAGGTTTAATATCCTGTACATTTTTTCGGAACATTTGTTCAAAAGAGCAAAATGAAAATGTGTTTTACCCGGATAATTTAATCATGTTAGTGCCACACATTTTACCTTTCCTTTTCCTAGTTTCCAGGCTTTTAAAGCTTTCTATTATTCCCTACAAAGTTACAAGAGAAAAGACTGAATAAGAGGTTATGTATGTGGCTTACACAGCTAGGTCTAAAAATTGTAACACTTATTTCACCAAAACAATTTTTTTCTTTCTTTCTAATAAAACAAATCATCAATCATTCTTCCAAAATAAGTAACTGCAAAAGCTAATTCCTTTACATAAAGTTGTGGCACTGATTTATAACATTATTGTCCTAATAAATGCACCAAGAACTCCCTTAACCCACCACCATTAAGAAAAAGTATTGAGATTAGAAGAGTGCATTAAGGTTGTGTGGTCCTTCATTATCATCTCAACCAACTATAAGTTTGATGGCTAAGTATTTTATTTATGCGTGATCTGCCCCAAATGAGTGTGAGTTCCTTGTCAATTATATATACAATTATAAATATAATTGAAAAGTCACCTCAACTTTATAGTGTTAAAAGTTATAGTTTTTGAATGTTTATGTTTGATAGCAGATAACCATAGATATAAGTCGAGATAGAAATGAGTCGAATTGAATAAAAACTAGTTCAACTCAATTTTATTTTATACTAGGTCAATGAACATTCTTTGTTTTTTTTTTTAAAAAAGGTCTTAAAACTCTTGGATATATTTCATGTTTGTTATAAGCTATATACATAGGAGAAGAGGAGAATTTAAAGACTATGGAAGTGTATTTGAATATACTAAAGTAAAAGAGAGTTTGTTAAATGATAAATTTTGAAGTGTTTAACTTATCTAAATAATCTAAATACTTTGAGTAATAATATAACAATTAAAACAATTTTATTTACCTTATTACATTTATAAAAATTATAGACAATATTTTTATGTTTTATACTATACAAGTTTCGTTCTCAAAATAATATTTATAGTTCTAAAAAATAAGCATTGTGAGAAAATAATAAAATACCATGGCTTAACCTTATAATATCTATTTTATTATGGTAGAGATTGAATTTTAATTTCTTTTGGAGAATAGAATTATAGAAAACTTTATCATCTTTCAAATGCTATAAATAAATATAAAAATCATGTTTTGATATTTTCATAAAATTTATAATATTTTTATTCTTCTATTGTTTGGAGTGGTTTTTGATCATTTTTGGTTTGAAATCATTCTTCAACACCGTTTCTTTTCGTTTTTTTATTTAAATAAGTGGTTATCCACATAAATTTGTTTTTTTTGTTGTGTTTTTAAGTTTTCGTCGTCTTATGCAATGTTTGTTGGTTTTTCATCTTAGTACTGTGTTTGTTGGTTCAGATTGACATATTGATTTCAACTCACTACATATCTGATGAAGAATTGAGTGTCAATGTTGCAGATCCGAAAGTATGAATATTCATGTTACTTTTTATTTTGTCATATTTGTAGGCATTTTCATGTTGCCATTATATACTATTAACCTAGATGCTGCAAGATTGTTTGTAGATTTACCTCTTTTAGTTTTTAGCAATCTTGA